GATGTTTACACCATATTTTTGTTATTTTTTATTAGCTGCTCCACAGTTTACCATAAATATCAGCATCAACTTCAGATTTTTACTAGCTAGTGCCAGTAATATATAGAAATGTTGCTCTTGGGCCTCCCCTGGTGGCCCAGTGGTTGAGCACTGGGCTGTGAAGCTCCCCGCAGCCTCTGCAGCGCCAGTTCGATTCCCGGCCACCGGCGAGGGTCCCACATGGCACGCAGACCTCTCCTGTCTCGCCTACTGCTCCCCTCAGCAGTGTATTTCGTCAGTCTGCCTGTTCTGCTCCCCGTTCTGGCTCTGGTGAATTCCCTCACCCTCCCGCACTTCTGACTGTATCCAGTGCTTGTATAAATAAATAAATAAATCTTTTAAAAAAAAAAAGAAAGAAATGTTGCTCTATACAGCTCTAGTCTCTTTCCCCATGTTTATGGTATTATTTTTATGCATATTACATCTATCGATGTTCTTAGAAACCCAATAACACATTATTAACACATTATTGTTAATAATGGTGTAGCCATGTCCTGAGCCATCCAGCTTTGCTCAAGCTACAGCCTCCCTCCCACAAGGTGGGATTTGGCAGATATAGCCAAGACCCCCCCCCTCCTCCACCTCTTGACCACACTCACCTGGATCTAAGCCTTAGCAACAGGTCCCCTGGGGCAGGATAAGAAATGCAGTGTCCCCCTTCTGCCTGGAAGGGAGAGTCCGGCTGGGGGTGGGGAGAGAGCCCTGTGCTTCAGCTGTGTCCTCAACAAATATAAACATCTGAAGCACCATCTTCTCATTAGCAACAACCAGTTTGGGTTTCCACATATTCTTGTCCTCCTCTTATGATGTTCTGCACTGAAGCCACAGTGATCATTGTCAGAAGCACACGTCATCACGTCCTCACTTGTCAGGGCCTCCAAGCTGCACCTTTAAGAAGCCTGACAGCACCATAGGCTCCGCTGTCCCAACCCGTGCTCCTCCCTGTCCTCTCTCAAGCTCCCTGATTACAGTCACAGTGGCCATTTTTCAGTTTCAAATATATCATGTTTTCTCCCACCACAGGGCCTTTGCACATATTGTTTCCTCCCCCTGGAAAGCTCTTCTTGCTCCCACTTCCCCAAATAATTTTATTCACCCTTTCTCTCAGCTCAAGCACACACATCTCAAAGAACATTTCCTACTCCTCATCCCAAAGAGCTCCTGACAAGAACTCTCATACAATTAAGTTTTTCAGAGCATTTATATATTATGTTTCTAATCACATATTCATTATAGTGTTGTTTTCATATAGATAAAATGAGACCCTCAAACTCTGTTGGAGTAAGAATCCCTAGTGAAGTCATGAGTTTCTTTATGCACTATGAATGTAGCAAAAGGAGGAACTGTGATATTATTCTAGTGGATGCTCTGTTTTCCTTTCAGAAAACAGAGAAGCCCATTTTAATATTGTTATAGGGTTAAAATGATTAATTAAGCAAGTCAGTAGCAGTAAAGGTCATCTTTCAGAGAGTAAATATTATTTTCACAGAACTTAGCAACATTCACTGAAGCCCGGGTGTTAGAAGTCATGATCTGAATCCTGGATTTTTCTGTCTCAGGCTGAGGTCCAAAGGGTAGTTTGAGCCCTGCCTGTCATGTCTTCACACAACCAGCAGGAGGAGGTAGAGGCCAGAAGGCAGGCCAGTTCCTTCAAGTAAAATCCCAGAAGTAGCTCACCATCCTCCACTGACACTTCCACTAATACTACATCTTTTATTTCTGGTTCCTATGAGTTTTTATCATAAATGGAAACTGATTTTATTGAATTCTTTTTCCAGAACTGTTGGAATAATGTGGATATTCTCATGTAGCTGATGAAGTGGTGAGGTGCATCAATAGATTTATCCAACATTAAAACATCCTTTCATTCCAAGGATAAGTTTTGGGTCATCTTTTCTGAAACTGCTACATTTGGCTTCTAGTATATGGTTTAAAACTGTTATATCAGGAGCCTCCCTGGTGGCACAAGGGTTGAAGTCTTAGTGTTATCAAGCTATCACCAGCAAGTTCCATGCCCAGCCAGGGAGAAACCCACATGGCACAGCAGACCTCTCCTGTCTCCCCCGCTGCTCCTCTCAGCAGTGTATTTCAGTCAATCCGCCTGTTTTGCTCTCCACTCTGTCTCTGGTGAACCCTCTCTCACACACACACACCTCTGGCCTACACTCCAGTTCTTGTATGCATAAATAAATCTTTTTAAAAGATTGTTATATCAAGGCTCACAAATGAGATTGAGTGTTTATTTCCCTTCCCTGCACTTTCCTTTAGACTGGATTTTGCATTGACTGTAAACAAGCTGCATTAAATAGGTGCAGTGCTGGTTCTTTCTGATTCCCTACAACAGCCTGTCCAAGACTCAGTTCATCTGTTCCTAAAACATTTGTAGACGTGAGCATGACTGACTCTCACACCCACTCTGAGAATGTCACCTTCTCTTGAGGCCTACCTGCCGCGCTGACCTGACACCCTCCCATGCCCAGAATTCCCAGTCCTCTTCACTCTGCCTACTTTTGTGTTTTTCAAAAGCACCTCACACATCTCAGATAGTGTACAATCATTTCCTTATTGTGTTCATGTAGAAGTTGGTATGTGAGCAATTTATAGCAGTTACCTTTTGGAGTTTGTTCCTTTTACTGTATAATCACATTTTCTATAAAACAGACAAAAGATCACGAATTAGGGCCTCCCTGGTGACGTAGGGGTTAAAGACAGTGTGCTATCAAGTTATCACAGCCAATGCAGCACGAGTTCGAGTTCGATCCTGGGGTGGCCAGGGAGCAACGCACAAGGCGCAGCAGACCTCTCCTGCCTCCCCTCAGCAGTATATTTCAGTAGATCTGCCTGTTCTGCTCCCCACTCTGGTGAATCCTCTCACCCTCCCACACACACCTCTGGCTTACACCCCAGTTCTTGTATGCATAAATAAATAAATCTTTTTTAAAAAATCATGAATTAAAGTTTTTGAACACTGTAGTGAGTAGATCAGTGATGATCAGGGGACTAATTAAGCCAAATATATGTCAACCAGAAGTTTATCATCTTGGAAGCTAGTTATGTACCAAATTGAGTTCCCTTAACATTTCCTTCATTTCCATATAGTTATAGTACAAAGATAATATTAGCTATAAGCCAATTAACATTTCATGGATGTCTTTCCATTCAAATATATAATCTTCCTCTTTTTGATTACCTAAATGGTATCCTACATGAGAGTGGATTACAATTGATTCAACCAATATAATTTAGTAGTCGAGAACAGGGGCTTCAGAATTCCAAGGTTGAATGCCAGTTCTGCTACTCCTTAGTTATAAGAGTTCGGACAAGTTCATTAACTAATTGCTGTTGCAAATTCCGGGGGGGGGGGGTGTGTCCAGATATAAATGCTGATTGAAAAGGTAAAAGTATTTGATAAAAGAGTGTAGGGTATGAGAAAAATCAATGAGGTCAAAGATGGCAGAACAACATGGGGCCCAATAAATGGCATGAGAAGTGTGATAAAATAGTTTAAACTCAGCCGAGTCAAGCTGGAAATGCCTGTTATACACGCAAGGGTCGAGATCAGGTGAACAGTTGGATGTTTACAATGTGGAGTCCAGAGGAGGGATCCAAGCTGGAGAATTGGGAATATACAAAATTTTTAACCATGAGATAATACAACATCTGTACTGGTTTTCTATCGCTGCCATAAGAAATCCCTGTAAACTTAGTGCTTAACTACAACACAGATTAAATATCTAAAAGGTCTAAAGATCACAACCTGGTTATATCCTCAGTATCCTCAGGCTGTGACCTTGCCTGGAGGCTCAAGGGGAGAATCCATGTTCTGCTCATTCTGGCTGTTGCCTGATTCAGTCTTGGCGACTCTAGGGCTGGGGATCTTGTTGTCTTATTGATTATTAACTGAGAACCTTCCCAGCTTCTAGAGGCCACCATAAGGCTTTCTCATACTCCATCTTCAGAGCCATGGCACGTTAAGTCTTCACCTTAAATCTCTCTGACTTACTTGCCTGCCTCTTCTGCTTCCATTTTTGTGAATCATGCAATTAAAATGTGTGCACACAAACAATGCAGGATAAGCTACCATCTGAAAGTCCTTTGCTTCCATCACATCTGCAAATCCCTTTTGTCATGTGTGTCATGTAGTCACAGAGCCTGGGGATTTGTGTGTGGCCATAGCATCAGACAGAGAATGAGTCCAGATGGTGAAGGGAGGGAGCTGGTCCACACCCTGAGATAATCCAAAGCCAGAAGTTAGGAAGATGAGAAAGAAACCAATAAAGGCAACAAGGGAGCTCCCACCGAGTAGGAGGGAAGAATGGTGAGTTGTGCTGCAGGTGAAGACAGGCTTCAGGCAGGATGGCACTGCTGTGAGAGATCAAGGAGGATGAGGTTGAGAACGTTTATAGGATTCAACATCATGGAGACCCAGTGACCTGGATGATGGAGTGGTTGCAGCAATGCATGATGGGAGAGAATCATGGAAAACTATGTCTCCAAAGAGGGTAACAAGATGGACATTATGCTCATGAAAATGTCTTCAACATCTTTAATATCTTAGGAAATGCAATTCAATGGCACAATGAGATACATTTCACATGAGCTAGGATGGCTACAATAAAAAATAACTAGGGTTATATAAGGAAATCTTCATACATTGCTGGTAGAAATGTAAAAATGTTGGGGCTGCAGGTGAACAATAGAAATGAAAGAATGAGAGGAGGATGGGATGCAAAAGTATGATGAGGGTAAGCCCAGTGAAAGATGGTGACTGCCTGGGAATCTGGGATGAGGGAGAAGGAGTCAAATTAGTGAAATTGTCTTCATCTGTGGATCCAAATCATGCTTCCATCACTTGCATTTGAGAAAACTTGGGGGTGGGTACTGGAGTCCAACTCCGGTGAACAGGGTTGAGAGAGGAATCCGATTGCGCTGAGAAATTATCAAGAAGTGACAGACACAAACAGAGCTTAAGAGAAGCAGGACCCAGGGGATGCAAGGGTTCACATTCATGCTCAAGCGTCCTGAGTGCCCGGTGCAACTCGTTTTTATTGATACAAGCAGCCCCCTCCCCCAGGTTAGTTACTAGACAATGAAGCATTCTTTTAGCATTTGGCCTTGTCCGGGCACATACTCACCACCAAGGTTCTGTGCAATCAGGCTATTCTATTTCTTTTTCTGATTTAGTTTGTCCCCAGGACATAGTTTCACAGACACCAGAAAGAACATCCGGATCTTTACAGCCATGACCTTGATGTCTTCCTTGTCTCAGCGCTGCATGCCTTAGGGGGCTCCAACAAGTGGGGGTGTATTTAACAATTCTAGATGTTATTTTCCTACCCATACAATAGGGATTTGTGCCTCACAGTATTGTTGATAGTCTAAATGGAAAACTGATGTAAGATTATTGAACTGATTCGAATTGTATGGAAGGGGGAGTCAGTTTGAGGATGCAGACAGCAAAACCCTTACATGGATGGGAAGGAACCACAGAAGGAGAAGCATCTTCTCTCTGAATGTCTATCTGACCAAAACACAGGTTCTTCATTCCACAGCTCCCCATCCACCAAGGCCACATTGTCCCTTTAGGTGAATCTTCTTCAAACCATCACTACTTCTTCACCAATGAGCCAGCCCAAGGTGGGCACCTGAATCGGAGACAGGCTCATTGGGAGAGGAAAAAATGGAGGGCGTTCCGTGAACACTCCAGGATTCCAAGGTCTTCAGGGACCTTGTAGAGAATCCCCCAGTGCTGGATTTAAGGCTTTGTTTTGCCACCTATTATTTTGGGGACAATGGTTACTTGCCCTGTAAGATGAAGAATATAACATTTTTGAGGGGGCCTTCTAAGAAGTAGAAAAAGAATAGTTTCTATTATAGATTCCAGGAGTCCAGTTACATTCTTTGCTGAGCTGAGGTCACAGGTCAGAGGAACACAGACCAGAAGCAGCAGGAGCTGGTCAGAGTTGGAAGGGGTGGGCGTCTGTGGGAATGGGGATCAGAGTAGAGTGGAAGTGCCCTCCCCTTCAGGGGTGGAGGATGGCCAGGTTCCATGCTGGCAGTGGAGAAAGGCAGGCAGATTCCAATGTCTTATCTTCATGGTGTGGCCTGGGGACCAGGACGTGGCCCTCACTGTGGACAGTATTTAGACTCCATTTTTCTCCCGTGTGTTATTCACTAGTAGCCTGGGGATGCAAGAGAGAGGGTTCCTGGAACAACTGATGGGGAGGCCCAGAGGGAGCCACATGAAGCACTGCTGTGATTTTCCCCCGTGTGAACTCCCAAGGGAGACATCACTATGCTGGGCCCCAAAATTTTCTTAATAGCATTGAGAGTCTAGACAGACTTAAAGAGGCAGTAGGGCCAGAAACAGCACAAGACTGGGTATGACAAGCCCACACCCAGATACGGGGAATTGAGATCCTCAAGCTGATGGCTTCCCCCTCCTTCCTGGCACATCCCAGCACCTCCTGGCTCAGCTCTGCACAGTGGATGCCATCTCGCGGTCCCCACTGGTTCCTGTGACTGCACCTGAGCCAGGTCAGAGAGGAGCTTGATCTGGGCCTTGGGATCCCGCACCCTCCCCCCTGCCATGGGTCCTGAGGTCATGGCCATCAACAAGCCTCTCTTAAGGGACATTCCCTGAGCAGAAAAGTGCAGGAGAAAGGGACCCCAATGTCAGGGACAAGAGGCATCTAAGCTGAGAGGAGGAGACCCGCCTGCCTCTTACCGGCTCCATCTTCTCCGTGTTCCAGTGTGTCTTCCAGAGGCACAGGCCAGAGCCCAGGAGGAGCAGCACAACCAAGACCGCCCGGATGATGCATCGCAGGGAAGCACTTGATCCTTGTGAACCTGCTTCCCTCACTCAGAGAGTAAAGGAAGGACAGAAAGATGTGAAGGACAGAGAGATCCCGAGATTCCCATTGCCAAGAGCACACGGGGAGAGCAGGTAGAGAGGGTGAGGGACCTGGTTCAGAAGTGACCAGGAAGGAGCATAGCAGCTTCCTTTATCGACCATTTCCCCAGCCCTGCCTGGTGCCAGGGATGCTAAATTAACATGTGGCCGTGCCCTGGAGCTCATCACCATGGGGAAGTCTGAGAAAGGCCAAAGTCACCAGCCAGAGGGACACAGTGCAGAGGTCGATATCTTCAAGGAGGGCCTCCTAGAGGAGGGGATGGGTCAACAGTCTTGAGGGAGAAATAGGAGTTTCCAAGAAACTCAGGGAGGGCAAACAGGGCATCCAGGAAGGAGGAGCACCATGTTCAGGAAAAGACCGTGGCCCCCCACCATTGAATCAAGAGAGACAGAACAGAGAGCAGCAGGCGATCAGGATCAGAGGGGGCAGGAGGCCCTTTTCATAGGATCTTGAGGGTCCTGCTGACAGTGAACTCCATCTCCCATTCCTGGGTGGCATGGGGCAGGCTGTGACGCAGACACCGCAGGCCCCTCCACAGCCATGAGGACGGTGATGGGGAGGCAGCACCCGGGGCCCCGGGTCAGTCATTCACTCATGAGACGCTGGCTGCGCACTTACTGCCAGGAACTGTGCTTGGCACAGGGGTTCAATGAACAAGACAGGACCTGTCCACAAGGTGTCCAGACAGTGAAGAAGAGGAGCCCATAAACAACACTACCCCTGAGTGCGGGTGACCACGGACAGCTCCAGCCTGCAGGGGCCGTGTCTGTGGCAGGCCTGGACAGCAGGAGGCCCTGTGCAGAGCAGGCCGCAGAGCCCTTCCCAGGCTTATTAGAAATTTCAAGACACCAATGCAGAGCATTAAACTAAGGGCAGGGCCCTTGTAACCAGGGGTCTCTGTGACAACCCCCACCCCGCTCCAGGCAAGCCTGAGGGGCCCTTCAGGGACAGTGACCAGAAAATGGGGGAGGAGGGAATAGGGTTGAGGAGGCGTCGGGTCCACAGCTCACAGCAGAGACGCATCCACTCGTTCCGAACACAGAGAAGCAAAGCACAGGAAACACAAAACTAAACCAAATGAACCCTGGAAATCTGACTGTAGAACTGGGGCTGCCGGTGGGCGAGGGCAATACCAGGCAGGGGCACAAGCGGGGGCCTGCACTGAAGCGGAGGATGGGGGTCCCGGTGCTGAGTGTGGTGTGGGAACACACGTCTGAAGAGGGGTTCGCCTGCACATCTGAATCATAAGCAGCACTGTGAGCCAATGTCACCTCCACAAAAAATAGTACAATTTGTAAAAGATACACATCTGGGACTCAAAGCAAGCAGATCGCGGGGACGGGTGCAGGTGAGACCGGAGCCCTGGGCAGAGGCGCGCCCTGTGAATCCTGACCTTCCAGGGCACCGAGAGGTCAGACTCCCACAGACAGCACAGGCCAACGAACAACCCAACGTCCTCTCCAAAAGGCTTCTCTATGGGTAAGAACGCAAGGGAAAGGGACCGGGGTGCTACTGCCCTAGACCAAGGGGTGAGGAGAAGGATGTTGGGTGTGAGACATTTAAAGGATGTGCCAAGGTGCCTGTGCCCCACCCAGGCTCCTGTATGGGGTGGCCAGTGGGAGGTGCTGCTAATAGACAGGACTGGAGAAAAGCCCAGAACCCACACACCACACCCCACCCCCATGCTCCCTGAGCCCTGAGAGCACCCTCCCCAAGGCAGGTCACACTCACCAGGGGCACACACATCCCCAAGGGCTTTGGTGTGAGTCTTCTGGTCCGCCGGGTTGCTGACCACACAGGTGAGGTTGGCATGGGGCTGGCTCAGGGGCAGTTTCACAGCCAGGGTCCAGGAGCTGGGGGCTGGTCCTGATGGGGTCCTTCTCTCTAGACCCCCGAGGAGGCCCTGGCTCTCCCAGGTCACACTCAGGTTCTCTCCGTCCCCCGGGGTCCTGCACTCCAGGGTGACGTTACACCAGCCTGGTGCGATGGACAGTGACTCAATCAGGATCTGGGGAAGGGGCACAGGCTCTGGGGAAGGAGGGAACAAAGGAATGGAGCCTCAGTGAGTGGGGAACATTGTAGTTGCCACGTTCTCATCCATTATCTTATTCAAATCTCCACATCGTCCCTGTCTAGAATGTGAGACCATTTTTTTTTAAAGATTTGTTTATTTATGCATACAAGAGCTGGGGTACAGGCCAGAGGTGGGGGGAGGGTGAGAGGATTCACCAGAGTCAGAGTGGGGAACAGAACTGGCAGATCTGCTGAAATACACTGCTGAGGGGAGGGAGCAGCAGGCAAGATAGGAGAGGTCTCCTGTGCCATGTGGGTAGCTCCCTGGCTGGGGATTGAACTCGCGCCGCAGTGGCTGGCAATAGCTTGATAGCGCTTTGTCTTTAACACCTGCACCAAGAGGGAGGCCCCTAGAATGTAAGACCATTTTTCAATAAAATGTAATTTACCCAGAGTTAAATGTATTCCAAGCAATAAAGGGAAGTGTTCAGTAAGGTAAGCTCTGTGACACTTGACCAGATGGAAAAGACAAAATTCTCCCATAAAAAAATAAAGTCTGGACCCCACTGGAACAAATTCATTATTTAAGAAATTGGGTCTTTCCTAGAAAGGAAAATATAAGAAGCACATTCTCAGGCTGCCCAGATGAAGCCAGCTTGCACAGTCCGTGGTGGAGAAGAACAACAAGCAGAAATAGGTGACCACAAAAAAACCCTATGATCCCCAAAGCAGACACATTTTGGGGGGCCATGGTGGTAGCAACTAGGAATGACAATTGCAAATGTGGTTAGAACATGACACTGAACTTGTGGTTCACACAGGATGGTAAGAGAGATTGACAAGTGGATCATTAGAATCACTACAAGAACTGATGTTGCAGAAGCCATTCTCTCCCTGCCAGGCATTTCTCTGAAGAGAGGAGCTATTGGAGAGGGAAAGTGTTGGCTAAATACATTTCTTAGAAAGTGATGCAGTCAATCTTTCTCCTGCATCTATAGAGGCTTTAGGGCTGGAGTTATGGAGACTCGGAGTGTGGCCGGCCCAGCAGGTGCTGAGTGAGAGGAAAGGGCTGGGGGACAAAGGCACTTGCATCTCACATTCTGAGAAGCTGTGAAAATCTTTAGCTATAATGAAAGAAATTAAAACAGTGCTTTAGATTAAGGCGCTAAAGACTTGACTTTATAATAGAGAGATGCAAAGAGTGATGTCACCAAGACGGAGCCTTCAGACACTTATTTTGTTCAACCTCACAACCTCTATGTTATGAACATAGAAAATTCCAAAGAAGTAAATAAACATTATAGGTAACAAATGAAAACAGTACAGTGGCAAACAACAAAATTAGTATAAAAAATTCTCTTTGTTTCTGCATGAAAATAACAAACTAAGAGAAATAGGAATCAGGAAAACAATCTCATTTAATTGCATCAAAAAGAATTAAACAACTAGGAGCCACTTTAACAAAGGAGATGAAAGATCTATACACCGAAAATTATAAAACATTGTTGAAAGAAGTAGAAGAAGATGCCAAGAAGTAGAAAAACATTCCTTGCTTATGGATTAGAATTAGCATCATTGAAATGGCAGCATACAGATATAACACAATCCAATTAGAACCCCATGGCATTCTTCTCCAAAATAGAACAAAAATCCTGAAACTTGTGGAACTACAAAAGATCACAAATACCCAAAACAAACACACCAAAAAATGAAAGTAACGCATCCTTTGGCTTCAAGCTAGACTACAAGAGATAATGATCAGAACTGCATAGTTTTGGGCTAAAAATAGTCACACAGGTCAATGGAACAGAATTGAGAGTCCAGAAATAAACCCACACAGATATGTTGTGTTTTGTACTGTTATTATTTTTTTACACTGATATATATACTGCAGGGGAGGAGGAGGGAGAGGGATCAGAGGGAGGGATGGAGGAGCACAGGGGACTGAGGTGATGGTGCACGGGTGCACTGGGGAAGGAAACTCTATGGGGACTACACCTGAGGGGATGGGGGAAGCAAATATTGTTTAAAAATAAACATGATGTGGGCTTCCCCAGTGGCACAAGCTGTTGAGCACTGGGCTGCGAAGCTGCCCAGAGCTTCTGCAGCACCAGTTCAATCCCCGGCTTGTACTCCATAAATAAATAAATCTTTTTAAAAAATAAAAATAAAAATAAACATGATGTAAAATAAAAAATAATATAAAAATAAAAATAAAATAAATAAAACAAAATAAATTAGAAAGTGCAATAAATAAATAAATAAATAAATAATAAACCCACAGAGATAGGACAACTAATTGATGATAAAGGAGCCAAGAACATAAAAAAAAAGAAAGGAAAGTCGCTTCAATAAGTGAAGTGGGAATACTGGACACATGCAAAAGAAAGAAACTAGAGCTCTACCAAACACCACACACAGGAAGGAATTCAAAGTGAATTGAAGTCTTAGATTTAAGATGTAAAACAGTAAATACAAAGAAGCAAACATAGACAATATGCTCCTTGATATTACCTTAGAAATTCTGGTCCAACAACAGGGGAAATTAAATGAAAAATTAAATGAATAGGACTGCATGAAACTAAAAACTTCCTCGATAGTGAAAGAAATTATCTTCAAAACAAAAAAGAATCCTACTAAGTCCTAGGAGATATTTGCAAATCATATATTTGACAAGAGATTTGTATCCAAAATAAAGAAATTTCAAAACTCATCAAAAATAAAAAGAACCACATTTTAAAAATGTACAGAGGATCTGAATAGACATTTCTCCTAAGAAAACATAGAAATGACAAACAGGCACAAGACAATATGGTCTTCACCTCTACATTTATTTATATATATTTTTTAAAGATTTATTTTTTTTATTTTTACAAGCACTGGGTACAATCAGAAGTGCGGGAGGGTGAGAGAATTCACCAGAGCCAGAGCGGGGAACAGAACAGGTAGACTGATGAAATACACTGCTGAGGGGAGCAGCGGGCGAGGCAGGAGAGGTCTGCCGCGCCATGTGGGACCCTCGCTGGTGGCCGGGGATCGAACTGGCGCTGCAGAGGATGCGGGCAGATTCGCAGCCCGGCGCTCAACTGCTGCGCCACCAGGGAGGCCCCACCTCTACATTTAGGGAAATGCAAATCAAAACAAGAATTAGATCAAACCTCAAGCCTCTGAAAATGGCAATTATTCAAGAGAAGAATCTCCTCTTCACAAGGTAGTGCCAAAAGAAAAGAAGAAAGTCCTATTCCTTCCAAAGCCAAAGGCAAAGCAAAAGCTTTCAACAAAGCAGTGTTGAAAGGCATCCACAGACACAGGAAAAAGAAGATCCCCACATCATCCATCTTCCAGAGGCCCAAGACACTGGGGTTCCAAAGGCCACCCAAATATCCTTGGAAGAGTGACCCCAGGAGACAAGAGTGAGCACTCTGCCAGTGTCAAGTTTCTCCTGCCCCCAGAGTCAGCCATGAAGAAGAGAGAAGCACTTGTGTTCATGGAGAATGTCAAGGCAACAAGCACTAGATCGCTTGTGAAGATGCTCTATGACATTGATATGGCCAAGGTCAACACCCTGATCAGACCTGATGGAAAGAAGGTGAATGTTTTTTTTTTTAATAAATTTTATTTTTATATTCCCCCATACAATTGCAACCCCCCCATTCTGACCCCCATCCCACCCCTCCCACCCCCCAGCCCCCAAAAAGTGTCTCTGGTTCATAGTTTTTTGTTGATTTTGATTTTCACTTTCTTATAGTTATTCATTTTCCTGGTCCCTTATTTAAGTTTTCTAGATTCCTGCTATGAGTGAGACCATCCGGTATTTTTCTTTTTCTTTCTGGCTTATTTCACTGAGCATGATCCCTTCCAGCGCCATCCATGTTGCTGCAAATTGCATGTGTTTATCTTTTTTGAATGCTGAGTAATATTCCATGGTATATAGGTACCACATCTTCTTGATCCAGTCATCTATTTTTGGGCATTTGGGTTGTTTCCAAAGCTTAGCTATTGTAAATAGTGCTGCTATAAACATAGGGGTGCAGGTGCTCTTTGGAATTGATGTTTCTGTGTCCTTTGGGTAAATACCTAGGAGTGGAATTGCTGGATCATATGGAAGCTCTATCTTTAGCAGGTCCAGAAATCTCCACACAGCTCTCCATAGTGGTTGGACCAGTTTGCACTCCCACCAGCAGTGTAGAAGAGTTCCTTTTTCTCCACAACCTCGCCAACATTTGTTGTTGCTAGTTTTTTTAATATGTGCCATTCTCACTGGTGTAAGATGGTATCTCAGGGTAGTTTTGATTTGCATTTCCCTGATTACAAGTGATGTTGAACATTTTTTCATATGTCTGTTGGCCGTTTGCATTTCCTCTTCAGAAAAGTTTCTTTTTAGCTAGAAGGTGAATGTTTTACCAGCCTCTGACGATGTGCTACTTTGGATGTTACCAACAAAATTAGGATCATTCTAAATGATTAAACTGGATAATTCTATTTCTTTTTTTTTTTTTAATAGAGGCATGTTTTTATTTATTTATTTGTTTGTTTGTTTGCTTGCTTGTTTTATACATGCACTGGGTACAGTCAGAAGCGCGGGAGGGTGAGAGAATTCACCAGAGCCAGAGCGGGGAGCAGAGCAGGCAGAAGGACTGAAGTACACTGCTGAGGGGAGCAGTGGGTGGCAGGAGAGGTCTGCGCGCCATGTGGGACCCTCCTCCTGTGGCTGGGGAGCAGCCGGGGATCGAACCGGCGTAGCAGAGGCCGCGGGCAGCTTCGCAACCCAGCGCTCAACCGCTGCGCCACCGGGGAGGCCCTAAACTGGATAATTCTAAATATTTTTTACACTAAGAAAAGAGAAAGAAGAAGTAACAGATAATTGGGAAAGATGTGGAGAAACGGGAACCCACATACACTGCTGGTTAGTAGGTAAACTGGTGCAGCCATTATGGAAGGCCATATAGAGTATTATTAAAATATTAAAAATGGAAATTTCATATGACAAATTATTTCTCTTCTGCACATTTACCCAAAGAATGCAAAAACACTAATTCAAAGAGATGTGTGCACCTCTATATTAATTGCAGCATTATTACAATAGCCAAGAGTTGAAAACAACCTAAGTGCCCATGGACAAGTGATGGGATAAAGAAGTTGTGGTAATATATACATGAGGGAATATGGCGCAGGCCATGCTACTCATGCCATCTGACAAAGGTCCAGGCATGGGGAAGATTTCTGAAAAATCAGAAGGCTCCATAGTTGGCTCCTGCTACTTCCTTTCATTTGTTTGTGGCAGTTATTGAATTCATGGAAATTTTCTATAAGCTTCAGAATAACACAATGTGTGTTGGCATCAATGCCAGTTTCGGTAATGCACACCTCACTAGTTTGAAAAAATGTACCTTCCAACATGATTGATCATGAAACGGTTTCCAATAATTCTCCATGTCCTCCAATTTGTAATTCAGTTACCATGAGTAACATTGAGTTTTCTAACAAACCACGCTTGATAGAACTGATGGAACTGAGCCCGGTAAAAGTCCCCACTAGAGAAGGCCCTGAGTTGCCCCAGGAGGCGAAATGGTCCTCGAGAAACACACCACATACTGTTCCCATGACACAGGGACCCCCTGGTTCTATATAGGAAATAGAAGGCCTCCCTCGATTTTACAATGCCTGCTTAGCCTTGTTTTAGTTACCTAGCTTGACTGCATGAATCACGTTGTGCATAGCACCTGTTTCTATTTTCTGAATAACATATATCACCTAGGAAAACATGTAGCCATGTTAATGTAACCAAGCAACCAAGTTAATCATAGACTAGGAAAATTAGAAAAAGTACTGTGCACTGTTAATGATCATTAATAATTTCTGAAACAATGTAAAAGTACAATCACATGATTGCATGATGTAATGATCACATAAAGAATTTCTGATGTATAAATAAAGGCCTGCTGAGACCCTCAGTAGGAGATACTTGCACCCTGATCAAGTGTCGGTGTCTCCTCACTGCCTCATCTACCTCATTCCCCCTCCCTTCATCCCTCCACTTCGCCTAGCACCCACTCGTCCTTACAGAAACCCGGCCCCGGTCGGAGCTAGGACTCTGGCAAGAATACTACTCAGCTATATAAAAGATGAAATCCTGCCATTAAAAACAGCATGGATGCACCTGGAGGGTATGATGCTTAACGAAACAAGTCAGATACAGAAAGACAAATGCCCTAGGATTTCAGTCATATGTGGTTCATAAAGAAACAAAACAAATGAGTGAACTAAACTAAACAAATATAAATGTTTAGACTGTAAAAGCTTATTAGTGTTACCAGAAAGGAATAGGAAAGAAGAATGAGTAAATCAGGTACAAAAGGTCAATTGTGTGGTGAAGGATACAATGAGACTTGTAGTGGGGAAAATAATGTACTGTCTACAGATGTTAATTTATAATGATGAAAATGTGAAAACATCTATAAGGCCCTTATCTGTTGTTACTAAAATAAAGCAATTTTAGTATCAATATATAGAGAAATTATTCCCAATTATCTGGAAGGACAATGTATCACAATGTAAAGTTAAAAGATCCTTGAAAGTGGAAGAACATGAAGTCAAAGGGATGCAGTGTGAGGACAGCACCCACCAAATTCACCATTAAGGATGGAGCCTAGAATGCAGGTACCTCGAGGAGGAGGAAGGAAAGAATGGGATCTCCGCTGGAGCTTCCAGAGTGGAGCACCTTGACTTTCAACCTCTAGACACTGTTCTCACTTGTGATCCAGAAAAGACAATAAATATGTGGTGATTTAATCCACAAATTTTGTGGGTTTTTTGTAACAAAAACAAGAGAAAACTAGCACTCAAAGTAAACTTAGTCCCATAAAAATCGATGTCATTGCAAAATATTCACTCCCCAAATTTCCAATTTCCTTTCCAAAAAAATGGAGATGATTTTCACCCTGGTGTGAGTCTTAGCTGTACTCTCCATTTCTGGTAAGAAACCCTGATTACAAAGGCAAAAATAGAGCCTGATAGAATCCTGCAAAATGGGGCCCATGTGTCACTCCTAGGGACAGGAAGAAGGGATGAGGGTTCACAGTCTTTTCACAAAAAAGCAGGAGAAAACTAAAACAAAAATAAATTCCAACCTTAAAAAGAAAACTATATGCTTTTGCAAAATATCCATTTCCCCAAATTTCCATTTTCCCCTCCCAAAACACTGAGATGCTCCATCTCTGGTGAACAAATCCTGATTCCAAAATAGAAAACAGAGCCTGAAGCCTGGTATTTAGAAAGAATCCTGCAAAATGGGGCCCATGTGACACCCCTAGGGACAGGAAGGAGGTCAGTCGTGCATGGGGGTGGGGGTCACGCACCATAGACAGTGAGCTGGAAACCTTGGGCACTTCCTCTGCCTCCTGTTAACTGAGCTCGAGCCCAGTACCGCCCACTGTCCTCACGGGTCAGGTTCTCCATCCTCAGGGACGCCATGCTGGGCACGTGGACCCTCTGCTCATACTTGTCCCGGAGGCTGACCCAGGTAGGAGCATCTTCTTTCCCACGATGGACTCGCAGGAAGACTCTGAAGTCTGACTCAGGACCAACGCCCCACTCCGTCTGCTCCAGCTCAGCTGCCCGGAACTTGCTCAGGTGAAACAAGACAGAACCTCCTCGGATCCCCTTCAGAGGAAGGTAGGCTCCAGGGTCTTTCACAGCAGAACTCTGGGCTCCAGGACTGCAGGAGCCTAAGGCAGTGGAAAGAGGAACCCTGAGGATTATATTCTTTTTTTTTTTAATTTTATTTATTTATGCATACAAAAACTGGGGTACAGCTCAGAGGTGCAGGGTGGTAAGAGGATTCACCCGAGGCAGAGTGGGGAACAGAACAGGCAGTACTGTTCACAGTGCTGTGCTTAACCCCTTGTGCCACCAGGGAGGCCGCCTGAGTGTTATTTTCATTTCAAGAATAACTGAGAAGGGAATCACCCATATTTTTAGTGAAATTCACGCAATATTCTCCTTGATTATCAGAAGACATCTAGTGCAATTATTTTGATGCATTTCTGGGATTGAGCCCTGGTTCTAAGAAAGATAAATTTGCACAAATCACACAAACTTAAGTTCCCTTACCTGCCAAGCAATATTGTGTAATTTAAATTAGATCATGGAAAAGAGCACCAGCCATACATTCAGGTTAATGCCAAGTGCCTAACTGTTAGAGGGGCCTCTAATGGGGCCACAAAGGTCCCTGTGCTCTTGTTCTAACCCTTGTGTCACTCCTCCCCAGAGTGGGGGTACCTAGTGACTCCTAAGGAATAGAATACAGTAAGTTGAGGGGAAGTCACTGAGCAATTCTAGATAAATAAGTCTGTGAATCTGCCTTCTTCATGCACTCTCCCTCCTTCCTCCCTCCCCTTCCTCTCTCCTACTACTGTGGAGATGCTGCTGACCTCCAGTCAGCAGCCAGGGAGGGACAGGGGCCCCATTCCAACAGCCACAGGAGCTGCATCCTGCCAGCAAGCACAGCAGTGAGCTTGGAAGCAGATCCTCCCACTTGACCCTGGAGCTAAGTGCAGCCAAGTGAAGACCTTGATTTCTGAGAGACCCTGAGCCAGAGGACCAACTAATCCACCACTGGTTCTGACCCAACATCAACAGTCCATGTGCATGGAGTTGTTTAAGGCACTAGATTTGGGGGTTACTGGTCACACAGCAATAGAGACTAAATATTAATGAAGATTGATGTCCTTTCTACTCCTCTGTGCATGCAGGAGTCAGAATGGGTGAGGCTGTGCTGTAACAATCAACAATCCCTGAGGGTCTCAGAACAAGCAAGTTCATATCCCACACAACATGTCCATGAGAGGGAGAGGGTCCCGTCACATGAGGTGGGGCTCTATACCATGTAGCTGCACCCCATGGAACCCACAGTTCCTCATGTCTTTCAGTCCCACTTCAAAGTGTGTTCTTCATTCCCTCTATTTTGCTTCTAGAACATATATAGTTTCACTGTTCATGTTTAAATCTTTGCTCCACTGGAAATCTACTCAGATGTTAGATGAGGTGAGCTAGAGACTTAGAGGTCAAAGCTGGAAATTAGTCAGTGAGACTTGAGTTGTGTCCAGATCTCTAGCTTCAGACTCTGAAAATGAGCAGTTACCTACCCTGCCTGCCTTCAGCTGCCTCACCTCTGGAGTGGATAGAATAACAGTGCTGACTCACAGAACTATTGTGGGGATAAAAAAGTTTGAACTTTGGGCTCATTGTTCCATAATTCTTCCCTGCATGTGAGCTGCTTTTGAGTGAGGAGGTTAGGAGATGGGAACAGGGAGTCAGTTAGGATCAGGGGACCCTGAGCCCATTTATCAATATAAATAAGGAACAATCAGTGGGAACCATGAGGCACCCCCCCCTCCAAGCCCAGGTACCTCAAACCCATTTATCAAGCTAATTGGAGAACAATCATTGGGAGCCAGGGCACCCCACCAGCCCAGTAAGAATGACATGCTCCTAACACCAACATAATAACCCAAGGCTAAACCAGCAACCGAAGCTGGCTCTGGAAGGCAGGCCAGGTTAATAGGGCAAACTCAGTGGCCTCATAGCCTAGGAGGCCCAACGGGCCACAGCCAATCAGTGAGAAACAAACAACGCTGAGACACCCAGTGGCCAAACCCCCACTCCTTGCCCATTACCCCCATATAAGCACCTCCTTCTCGCTACCTCAGTGGCCACCCACTCAGGCCTCTCTCTGCTCAGAGAGCGATCCTGTCCTTACTTTCATTTATCAATATCTCTTGCTTTTCTGTAACTTTGGTCTCAACGTTGAATTCTTTCCTTGTGAAAGACAAGAACGGATAAAACAGCCCCCTGGGAGTCCCCAGACCCTCAAGGCCTGAATCACAATGAGAGTAATAACCATCACGTCCCAGCACACCTGGATCAGACAGACGCCCCAGGTCAGAGTGATTCTTCCTCCTGTCCACCAGGTTCTCCCCCTGGGGACTAGAATGGGCCCCAAGGAGGCAGACACCTCAATGCCATAGGTGGCCTTAGGGAGTCAGACACCACTTCCTGTTTACCAGGCCTGAGCTGGAAAGGTCACACATGGCTGTGCGGGGACCACTGGCGTCCACTGCACCGTCACCCCCAGGTCACCGGGCACAAGAGCACAGCTGTGTTGCTGGGAGTGGTGAAGATGGGGGGAGGGCAGTTGCATCTTATCACAAACTGGTTTGAAAAAATGTTATACTGTGGACTGTGCTTGGTGTGGGCACTTTCCTCTTTCTCTAATGGGTTGTTTTGTGATTTTGAAAGTATTCTGTGTTCATCAAACCTATTATGTGGATTAGGGTATTGATGCAAGTCTAAGGTCTAAGGGTGCCTCCTCCCTAAGTAAGCACTGCTGCATCCCCCCATGTTCAGCCCAGGCCATGCTCAGGAGCAGAGACAAGAAAGCAGAGGCCAGGCTGGGGGGCTTGAAGAGGAGTTTCCTCCCTCCTGGGAGGGCTGAGGAGGTGACCATGGGCACACAGTTTCCCCAGTGTCCATTCTATTGGAACACGGGAATAGGACAAGCAGGATCAAGAGACAAAGCAGAGACATGAAGTAGCCCCAGGAGGGTCTTTTCTGGTGGAGACACCAAACCCCAGAATGTCACAGCTGGGGGGACTCAGGGGACCCACCCAGTCCCACCTTTCACAGAGGAGGAGGTGCCCCAGGGGTGAGCCCGTCTTGGTGCATAGGGCAGAGCACCCTGGAACAGTTTCCTCCCTCAGCCCAGCCTCTCCCCTGCAGGGGCTGCCCCTCAGCTCCCCCTCCCCTGCCCCAGGGCTCCTCCTCCAGCACAGTGTCTGACCCCCAGGAGCTCAGCACACCCTGAGTCACCCTCCAGGGCCCCCTCCTGGGAAAGGGGAGCAGGGCTCAGTGGGGTGAGCAGAGCAGAGACTCCTGACAGCTGAGGCCAAACAGCAGCTCCGCCAGACGGCCCCTTCCCGTAACAGGGACCAGGGAGAGGGGCTCAGCCTCAGGCTGCAGGGAGGATCCCCAGAACTTGGAGGATTCTCAGAACTGGAGGGGGAGAAGCAGCTGTGAGGAAATGGAGGAGACAGAGAAGGAGCAGCAGGGCTCTGTCCTCCAGAAGGGGACTCCCCAAGGAGATAATGCCAGGGAGGCTGTGCGGGGGGGAAAAAAGACAGACTAAAAATTCATATCAATAACATAAAATTTAATATTCAAAAATCACCATAAAATTTTGTTCCTCCCATACTTCCTCCCTGTCACAAATGTTTTCTCATTCTCTTTCCCCCGCCTTTCAAAATCTCTCAACCCCAAACAAGCCCAGAACAATTACAAAAAATTATATTCAATTTTATTCAGTTCAATGCCCTTCCCTTTATAAATAAACTAGAAGAACAAGAGAAATCTACATTTCACTCTTACATAACTTCATTGATTAAAATGCTCGTGATGACTTGAAAACTCATTGTTCATTCAAGAGGTCTTGTTTATAAATGCTCTCCAAGCCTTTACATTTTTATATAGCTCTCTGCAAGTTCATACACTGGTTGGGGTATTAAAACAAATATATGTAGCAATAGAAGTTTTCAAATCTTTCTCTAGATCTTATATTTTCTCATTGTATTCACTGAATTTCACCAGACACAAGCGTCATCCTGGGTGAAGTCAGAAATGTGACATCCGACCTTCCCCAGGACATTTCAGTTCCCTTTTTGCTAAACCCCCCACCCACCCACCTCCTGGGCTCTCTACTTCCCCGTTCTCTTTTCCCTCCCCTGATAGCAATCTATGTCTTCCACATTTTCTCCAGGCTGTTGTGGCATGTGTGTCCAGAAAACACTTTAACTGCGAACACTGCTGTTCCTTTTAAAAGTTAGGATTTCTGCCCTTGCACAATCCATGGTGTGACCTCTGGGAACCGAAATCCCATGCGGACAACAGGGCCTGCTTCTAGTCTCCATGTCATCACATAACACGATACTCCACAGCTTGCTCATCCCAAACTGATGCACCCCCCTGCTACCAGGATTTCCTACAACAGTGTTTTGGATTTGGGGTGGTGTCCAGACCTGAGCAACATTTGGGGATGGAGAGAGAGTCAGTCTCAAGCAGGATGAAAGGCAGCCCCCCTAACGGATTCACTTGCCGCAAAACAAATATTTCTTAACTTCTAATGATGAATTCAAACACTGTCCTGGGGTGCAGAATTCATGTCATTAAACCTGAGATTTCAAAGACTCTGCTGCTGTGAATGATCATCTTGGGGCTGATCCCTCCGCGGGTGGGAGCCACATCACACTCCTATCCAAGGAGCAGCCCAAGACCCCCGACCAGGGAGCTTCCCCCAGCTCAGACTGTTTCCTAAGCCCCCGTTCCTTCTCCACAACCTCACAGGCTCCTCGGTCCTGTCTGAGTCCCAGGCAGGGCCCTTTTCCAGCCACTCAACCCCTGGAGCAAAATTCTTTGCTTCATCCCCTCCCCATGCAGCTCCAGGCCCCCTGCTTCCCTGGTATCTCAGCGAAGTGGCCTCACCTCCTGATGACTGTTCCCCGGACACAGCCCAGGCTGTCCGGGCAAAGGGCCCAGCCAACCCACAGCCAAAAGGCCACCTCGTCCTTTCAGTCACCCAGGGATCTAAACCAGATGTAGGGCCTCCCTGGTGGCATAAGGAGTTAAGACACAGTCTATGAAGCTATCAGCAGCCACTACAGCACAAGTTCGATCTCCACCAGGGAGCTACCCACATGGCTCAGCAGACCTCTCCTGATTCGCCCACTGCTCCCCTCAGGAGTGTATTCCAGTCAGCCTGCCTGTTCTGCTCCCCACTCTGTCTCTGGTGAATAAATAAATCTTTTTTAAAAAAATAAATAAATAATAAACCAGATGTGCTGATTTGCTAAAAACAAAACAGACTTGTTTTGTCTTTTTTTCACCAAAGACATCAGACACCAACATCAGAGGGAAACAAAAGCTGCCCCTGTGCCTCCCTCCCCACATCCTCGGCCCCAGGCCACTCACTGAGGAGGAGGCTGGCGAGTCCCAAGGCCCAGGAGACCCGGCAGAGTTGGGGGTCTTCTGGGCAGGGCCCCATCCCAGGCTGTCTGTCCATCTATTCAGCTACAGAGGACACATCTAAAAGGCAGAGAAGAAAGCAGAGGAAACGCTCACTCACATGATCCTCCTCGTCTCTCCCCACCCCAGGGCTGTGGCTGAAATGTTAGTTCTGGGATGACAGCTCCTCTTGTGGACAAGCCATTCAGATCCTTCCTACCACCCCAGTACCTGCAGCAGGACCTCAGTCAATGACTGTAGGATAAATGAGCAAACACCCCACCCCTGGGTGGCATGCCTGGCCATGCTGGAAAAGCCCCCTCCCTGCATCAAACCAGCTTGGTGACCGCACACCCCAACCCCTCCGCTACACCCTCTGCAACCCTTATCTGCTTTCCTGGCCAGTCTGTGGTCAGGCAGAATCAGGCACACAGAAATGTGGAGCTGGGCACTCTGATGCTGTCCGCAGCCCCTAGTCCATCTAATGACTCAAATATCCTTTCAAATTTCTGTAAACTTCAGCTCTCAGTTACCTAGTTAAGCTACCATTGAGCCAAACAACAGCCCTCCTGCCCATGGTCCAGCTGCCTCAGACACAGCCACCTACTAAAGGCCAGGGCCTGGCGCGCTCCCCAGATGGACACCCCACAACATCTGAGAGCTCTCAGCTCCCCCACCGTGGGGAGCAGCACCCTCTCCCTGACCCTGCAGGGCCTCTGTCTCTGCCTATCAGGGCTCCTATCAACTGCCCAGGAGAGCCTCACCCGTGTGACACTGTTCAGTTAGGAAACCATTTGCTGAAAGGAGTGGGGAGGGGAGCTAGAGAGTGGAATGCACAGTGTGGCTGCAGGTCAGGGACTCGGGGCGGGGGGTGGGGGGCAGGTGACAGATACTCACATGCTGGCAGAACAGCAGAGATTATTTACAGCCCACACACCTAACCTCATTTTTTGATAGTAGATCATGTAATCATTATAAAAAACCTTTATGTAGTCATTATAGTAGTCATCATGTAGTCATTATAAAAAAAAAAAAACCTAGTAAAAATTTCTGTCCTAAATTCTGTCTTGTGTAATATTGTCACTCCTGCTCTTTTGCATGGTTTATCTTTTTCCGCTTTTGTGTTTCCAGTCCATAGTATCTAAAGTGTATCCCTCTTGGCAGCATATACATGGATCATCTTCCTTATGCCTTTTGCTTGGAATATTTAATCAATTTACATGTAGTATAACTGTTGGTAAGATTTACTTCTGCTATTTGTAAAATTAACACCTGCCTTTTTTCTATTGTTGTCTATATATCATACATGTTGTTTCTTTGTTCTGTCATTACTCTTTGTCATATTAAATTGTTTTCTATTGTACCATTTTAATTATTTTGTCATATTTTTTACTTCAATCTAATTATTTCTATCTAATTGTCCTGAGAATTTTAATTGATGTATTAATTCATGAACATCCAGTTTATACTATTACCAACTTATATAAATATTAATATTATTATAACATGTAACATTCATACAGAAAAACTCTACAAAGTAGCCTGAAATTAAGATCAATATATCAAAATGCATAGGACATACTATATCAGTTACAAGTAAACAGTGACAGAAAAAGTTCTAATTCCCAAGAGTAAAACAATGTGTGAGATACGTGTAGTACATGGTTTGCCTTAACTGAAACCTGCCTCTCCCCCGGCAGATCATCACTGCCATGAACTGCCCTGAACAGTTCTTCTTCTTAAGAAGAACATGGTCATTTATCACACCCACATGCAGAGTGGATAGACAGGTGGTCAGGCCCCTCTGTTTTTCCCACCTACATCCAGGGCACAATTCCTCCACCACTTGCTCAATGCCCAGTCCTTTCTAAATACATCCAGCCTCATTTCACATCACTCCTCCTCATCAAGCTCTATAACCAAACTCAGAAAGGATCAATTATTTTGCTTAACCACATGGATACATCCTAACTGAGTGTGTCAGTTAGGATACTTGTAAGCTATAGAAAGTCTCAGCTATTGTCAGGAGTCAGAAAGTCACCACCAGCAGTGATGTCTGCAGAGCCAAGTCTAACCCGCTCCATTCACCTTGGCAAAAGTCAATAATTTGTCTTCCAGTACCCACGGGTAGGGTGCTGCAGAGAATGCAGGGACTCCATGGCTCCCAACTGCAGAAGCCACAGAAACAGCAAAGGGATGAATTTTGCCTCATGTCTACCCTCCAATATACAATTGACAATCAAACTTACATCATTTACATGACCTAACTGCAAGAGGGTGTGGAAAATGTGGGGTCAACTTCATGCCTCTGCAGTGCAGGAATCCCACTGAGTACCTGCACACCACACCCGCCACACTCCTCACTGCCCTGCTAACATCATAAGCCACGAAGTGAGCGCTCACCAGATCTGACCATTACTGGACCCCTGATCTCTGACTTCCAACCTCCACAACTGAGAGAAAATAAATTTCTGTGTTAAACAACCATCTATAGCATTGTTATGGGGTCCGGGTGGATAAAACACCATCCCACATTACTTCTGACAAATGACAGTCTCCTTTTTCTCAGGGGAAAATTGGCAGCAGAAAGGGAAGCTTTGAAGTCCTACCACCAAACATTGAACTGATCTTGTTTATTCATGTCATCCTAACTTCCTATCCTGCCCTTTCTGAAGACATTGAAACCTAGTATCTGAGGTTAATACCCCATTTATCCAAAGAATAAGAAAATACCAAATCAAAAAGATATCTGCACCCTCAGGTTCACTACAACATCACTTGAAATTACCTCACTACAATGTGAGTTCCTTCTCCCCCTGTCTGGGAACCTCTTTTTAAGTATTTCCTCTTTCCCTGGATTACTCCAGGACCCCTCTTGCACACTTCTTTCCTGTGACCCTTAAATACCTCAGAACTTTCTCAACTTCCCCCTTGCCTCACACCCAACTGTTGTCCTAGTTCCCCTCCCACATCGAAGTCAAAGCCACACTCTGCCCACTCCCGGGACCGCCCTCCACCTGCCTCTCCTGCATCAGCGCACACCAGGGGACCTCCCAACACTGGACACCCTGCCCTCTCCCTCCTCTGGAAGCAGCTCTTCCCTCAGCTTCCCTGGTGCACATCCCCCTGCATCCCCCTCCCTTCTGCCCTCTTCCTTGGGCCCTTTGCTGCTGCTCCTCCTCCGCCCCTCCTTTCCCCTTAGATGCTGGTGCTTCTAGGGGTCTAGCCAGCCCCTTGTCATCTCATTTCACCCTCACAAGCACACCCACACTGCGGCCTCAGTGCCCACTCACATGCTGCTCACGCCCGCGCTCATTCCCAGAGCCCAGGTGTAGGGGAAATGAGTGACTCAGGCTGCGTTTCCCTTCCACATAACAGACAACCCAGACCTTGGACTGCTGTGTTTTCCACCAGAAATAATCACCAATGTCATCCCTTGCAGATCGGCTTGAGGTACCAACTCACTGCTCTGGTACCAACCTGGGCTGGCCGGTTCCACCCCTTTGCGCGGGCTGCCTTGGCTGGGGATACCCCCACCCCCAGGGGGGTCACTACATCTGAGGAGGAACTTGTGCAAACACCACACAGCTGCAGCGCTCTGTGGCCCAGAACTTGGAAAACATAACATTCCAAGGTCTGGGCTGTCCGTTATGTGGAAGGCAAAAAACAGTCCGATTCACTCGTTTTCCTTACACCAGGTCTCCTTCCCACCTGTCCCTCTGCCAGGCGGACCCTGCATTCAGCCTGTTCTAGACATCCCCGCTGGGTCACGCACCAGGGGTCCAATGCTCAATTCATTGTCTTCGCTTCCAGACTGTTCCTGGGTTCCCACTCTCTATCAGTCTCTCCTCCAGAAACCTGGGACTTTTCTCTGGTTCCATCCTGTGACCCAATCCCCACTATGTGGAAGTTCCATGCTCAGCACCTCACATGCAATGATTTTACTTGATTGTTTACATCTTATGAGGGGGAAAAAGAAATAGTAAAACTGTACTGTTAATAACACTTGGTGACCAGGAAATTGAATCAGAATTCCTTAACTGCAGCAAGTAGTAATATTATTTTTTTTAAGAGGCATGTATTTTTATTTATTTATCATTTATTTGTTTGTTTGTTTTGTTTATACATGCACTGGGTACAGTCAGAAGCGTGGGAGGGTGAGTGAATTCACCAGAACCAGAGCGGGGAGCAGAGCAGGCAGAAGGACCGAAGCACACTGCTGAGGGGAGCAGCGGGCGGCAGGAGAGGTCTGCGCGCCATGTGGGACCCTCCTCCGGTGGCCGGGGAGCAGCCAGGGATCGAACCGGCGCCGCAGAGGCCGCGGGCAGCTTCGCAACCCAGCGCTCAACCGCTGTGCCATCTGGGAGGCCCCAGTAGTAATATTATTATCACAACTACTCTCCAAACAGTCTGTGGAAGGACTGCCCGATGAGAATTTTTAAATTATCCCTATTTTGTATTTAGTCCAATAGTAAGGAGGCCAGATCCATTACTGGAGGGGAGAACATAACTCCATGTTAATACTACAAAGCCTACTGGGGCTCCCTGCCTCCAGGGCCTGCCCATTCATACAGATCAGACTCATGTCCATCTGCCAAGACTCCTCAGGTAACTCAGTGCCCAGCACACTCTACACACTTCACCTGGTGTTCATGTCTCTCACTAGTATGTGAAGCATGTCTTTTGTTTTTCTCTTGGGCTTCTCTCCTATAATCTTCTTAGACTCAATTATTACTTCTAGAAAGTGTATACAGAGACATACAATGTATAAAAATAATGACAGGTTTCTCCCCACCTGCTTTTCGATTTCTATACTATTTATTTCTTCTCCACCATAATGCACTGGCTAGGACCTCTAGTGCAATGTTGAACAGAACTGCTGAATTTGGACATCATTTCTTATTTCCAATACAAGAGAAAAAAACATTATTTTTTCCCTATTAAGACTGACCTAAGTAGGTATTTGAACTATATCTTTCTTACATTTTAAATCATTGGTTTCTGCTCTTATCTTTATTATTTCCTTCCTACTGCTTGCTC